ACATTGCATATCAAAATCTCTTAAGAGATCAAATTTCTATTCAGTATCTTTATATTGCAGTGCTTTGCAGGCCTGTCATGTTTGCTCCTTCTGTATGTTTACAACCCAAGTTACGCTGGGGTAACTTAGCAGAATTATGTATGATTTAATACACATGACCCAAAACTTGATTGAGGCTCATAGGATTTTTTTCAATTATTATTAATGCTCAGGGAAGTAAAAGTTGTATTACAAAACTGCTCTAGCAGTCAGTGAGATTCTCTTCTCTTAACTAAAATATATACTGCTTTGAAGAAAAACTTGCATTATTTTCTGCAAACAGTTTCACTTTTGACATTTAATTGAAATTAGTTGGCATTTAATTGAAAGAGTTAAAAATAATTTAAGTTCTAATAGCTACTAGCAAATAGTATATTATTGAATAACACTTGTTTGCAGACATTAAAGAAGGACTATCACTAGAAATATTCCCAGATACCTGGAAATCTAAAGCTGCATATGAATGAGGGCAGTCCATCCACTAGTTTATGAGTCCCAAATTCCTCAGGTGATGTCACAAATCGACCTAGTGTCCCTGTGAGCAGTGTTTTGTCTTTGAAACTCTGAATTTTCTGTAAAAAATGTAAAATCTCGCGTAGTCAGTACACTCCTCATTGACTATGCATCTGAGAAGCCCTACATATGTTGTTTATTTCAGCAAATACGTAGAATAATATACACTCCCAACAGCTTCAGACGATGGTATGCAAATAACTGGCATGGGGGGCTAAAATCTCAGATGACATACCCTTTTCAGGATGTGTCAGCAAGAGCACATTCAACATGTCAACATGTCCATACATACCGAAGCATGTTTTGGAGGAGAGCAGGATCCCAGCACAGATAGGATTTCACAGCATTTGTTCTACTTTTTGGGGCTGCCTCTGTAGGAGTTTCACAGAAACCAGCTTTAGGTAACTGCAGTTTTAGATGGGAAAACTTCCACCAGCGGTCTCCAAAGATTTGTAGGCATAGGTCATAATCTGCTGAAAATATTCAGTAGATATGACCCAGTGGCACAGTCAAATATTCTTGGTCCTTGTAGAAGTTTAGTTCTGAATCTCAGGCTTGTATACCCAGTGAATATTACAAGCCGTCTTCTCCTACACTGTGAACTTCTAAGCCTCAGACTTCAGCTATCTTCCCTTACTTTGAAGAATATTCATTCCCCTTCCACCAGCAATTCTGAGATATTTTCCTGGTTTCCCCAGGACAGTCCTGTTCATACCCAAACAACATATATCTGAACTAGTAGAGCAGTTACAGGTTTGCAGGATAAATCTAGTAAAATACTGAAGTACATATGCTTGCATTTAGTGGGGGAAAAAACAGGTCTGATTTTGTCATCTGCACTCACATTGCATGGTAACTTAAGAGTTAAATGTAAAACCTGCTGTAAGGGAGCAACCACCAGGAACAGGAGTCAGAATCTACTTCTTCATGATTTTTGAGAGGCAAAAAAGAGATAATTTTATGGCATTTTTTCATTCTCATTTACACTAAGTTAATTGCTTCTCCCTTTCTACCTTCAGCTTTATTAAATTTTTCTGCTTTGGCACAATTTTAATACGGATATTTTACCTAGTTTCATCACAATGCTGACAGCTCACAGAGAAAGAAGTTCTGGGAGTTCTTCCTGAGAACCTCTTCTCTCACATGATTCTTCTCTTTCCTTTGTTTTTTTTCTAAGATCCAGAAGAAATCCCCCCTCATTACTGTTCCCTGGGCAAACACCTTGACTCTTTCATTGCCTTTTTCGACACTCTTTGGAAACTCTTCTTCTGAGCTCAGGGACATCTCAGTCCCTCTTTGGCTTTGGAGCAGCCTTCTAGCTCATTGTCTCTTTTAGATTTTGGTGACATCGTATGAACTCGTCCATTTTCTGCAGCCTTTGGTCAACTTCTATAGGTCACAGTGTTATGTAACAGTGTCATACCCTCTGTGCATCGAAGATCTCTGACCTGATGTGCCTACTACAGTAGTATAATTCTCACTGGGAAAGCACACATTTATAAGGAAGAAGGAAATTTGTATAGAACAGTTCTTTCTATCTTAAATTTTGTCATTCCAGGTCTACGCAACTGCACATTTCCAACTTAGTCTGTTTCATTATCCAGTTCCAGATCATGACTTTTTTCTCTGTGGGTTTTTAACCTTGTGATGAACCTAGATTACATATCTGAATTAAAATTTTGCCAAAACTAGTGAACAAATTCATTTAATTGTCTTGGGAACCAGCGCTGTGAATGCATTTTCATTACATTTTTTACTTAGTTTCCACTGCAACAGCCTCTATTGAATCAAGAAGCCCAAAAGCTGCAAAGAAAACCTGTTCCAGTTCTAAATCTACTCAGGTATTCAGGGTACAGCTTTTTTACTTCTAAATCTCAGCTCTGAGAATCACGAAAGATAAAAAAGTCTTTCTAAAGGTTATCCTAGGATAAGCCCTCATCTCCCATTTTCCCATTTTTTATTTTTGCCCTGGTTTCTGCATATTCTTTGGATCATCAGGAAGAACAATAAGTCATAAGTATCATTAATATCATAGACACTGATATCCTGTGACATCATGTTTCTTGAATTATTCTTTTGGTCCCTGGTAATTTTTGACAATTTTTCTTCATTGCTCTAAAGGGCACTTTATGCCTAGAATTCCACTATTCCTGTTTTCCTTTACTTTCACCTGTAACCTTTTGCTTTCTGACTCTCATGGGTCACCAGCCTTTGTATGCTTATACAGTAAAGGACCTTCTCAGAAAGGAAACTCCTCTCAAGTGTAATACATTATATTTTTCCAAACTCCTAAAGCAAATAGTCTTCTGCAAAGAAAAGAAGTACTTTGTACCCTTTAGGAAATAAGAAAGCCAACATACTGCTCGTTAGACTCAGTACATATTGCCTCTTGCCTGAACATCATACAAAATAAAATCAGTGAAGAATGGGGTATGATGATGTAAGTAAACAGTGAGGGGATCTATTGTGATAGGAAACCTCTATGTATTGTGCTGGTGGAAGAGAGAAGACTGAGAAAGGACATGGGGAAGTCATGGATTGTCACAGTTGATGGTAAGAAGAAACATAAGGCCAATGGCTACTGGAGATACAAAAAAAAATTAGTAGGATTAGGATACAAAGACATCCTTCCTTCATCAACTCACAGTAGATTTTCACATTCAAAAGAAATTTTAGAAGTTTTGAGAGGCATTGCAAAATTAGAGCAGGTCCAGTTTGGGAGCAGCAAAATGATCACAGTGCTGGGAAGCTTGACATGTGGAGAAAGGTTGGAGGAATTGGGTTTGCTCTACTCAGAGGATCAAAGGATCTTGTATCTAAAAAGTTTTTATAGATTAGAAGGTGTTCTTGCTTCACAGTGATTCCTGGCGACAGACAAGAGGCAAAGGGGACAAGGTGCTTCAGGGGAAACACTGTCTGGATAGAAGAAAAACTTCACTTAAAGTACTCTTAAATATTGGAACAGTTTGTGCAGGGAAGTGGTAGAATCTACCTTGCTGGAAATATTCATGTCTTGGCTTAACAAGGCCCTGGATAACCCAGTGGAAAGCCTAGGAGGTTGGACCAGTTGACTAGAGGTCTCTTCCAACCTAGACTTCTCTATTATTTTGCATCTCATACTAGATCTGAGTGTAGCATAGGGTTAAAATCTTAGAATAAGGTTAATTTTACAGGCTACGTTAAAAATTAACACATATTTAGAATTTCAAAACTAACCCATATATTTTTAAATTATCTTCATTTAACAAGGGTAACCTGTTTGGCAATTTTTAAAAAAACTGAGGGTTCCAGGCCAGTGTACTTGGTTCTTCAGCCAGCCATTCTCCACTCTTACCTCAAGATCCCTCTGCCTCTTAAGTAACTCTGACAACCTGGTTGTCTCAACTGTCTGTTGGTCGATTAAGAACAAGATGCTGTTAACTTCAGTTAGCATAAATGAGTGACTTTGATTAAAATGTTTATTGCAGAAGCAATCAAACAATGTAATTTTGTAAAAACGGAATTTTAGTTGTTCTGATTGTATTCCATAATGACTGGTGTCACTATATGTCTTTTACTGGACCTCAATTTTGATTCTAAGTCACCCCCTATCACATCCTCTTTAATTGTAATCTCTCCTTTGTTCGTTTTAATAATCAAATCAGATAGCATTTCCATTTGGCTGTCTCTTATTTTCTACTTCTTGTGTTATCACTTGTTCTAAAATAGTGCATCAATTCTCACATATTACTGCAGTGATTTGCTTTCAACCTTTGCCTCTACTTGGAACTGATCTTTCTCTAAGATCTTGCACACCAAATCCCTTTTCTCTGTTGACCTCCACCCCTAGCTTGTGTCCTTTCCAAGACTTACAATTTGGCAGTGTCTCTCAATTCTGCAGTGTGTTGCTCCTTAATTCTGACAATGTTACTACCACTGGGATTCTTGTCTACAGTTATAGGGTTTTTATATAATGTAAACTCTTGATCTTTTTTTCATTACTAGTATTTGCCTCCTATAAGACCACAAACACTATCCTCCATCTCTGAAGTCTCATTTTAGGTTCTTTTTGCCACTGATTTAAGAAGGCCAAATACCAAGTGATTTCCCTCTTCTGTATATCTTCAAATGTTGTTTCTTGTATTAGTTGAATAACTGTGCTGCAGTTCTCTGTTCAAGTGCTGATTTTACAGTCTTTCCTGACTTTTCTGCAGCTTTGTTTCTTTCTGTTGTTTGACTTCACTGGAGGACTTAACACTATTAGAATCATAGAATCCTAGAATGGTTTGGATATGAAGGAACCTTAAAGGTCACCTAGTTCCAACCCACTACCATGGATGGTTCTCCTTTCCTTTTCCATCATGCCCAGTCATGATCTTCCCTATTTCTATGCTCTTGTCTCCTTTAGTAAACTCTTTGCTGTACTAAAACCTTATGGTTTTGTGCCCTTATCCTTCTCTCATCTTCAGGCACATGATGTGCTCTCAGTGGAGAAGAGGCTGGGCAGCAGTTGTTGGAGCAGATACGTGGAGCTTCTGGAGGTCTATCTGAGCTGTTGGTGACAACTTCTCATGCTCCTTTCCTGGACAAGATTCTCATTTTGGTACAGAGCACTTCAACACCTAATCCCCTTGATCCCCTCTGGGATGAACATCTCTGACAGGCTGACTGTTAACTCAGGAAAAGATGAAGAAAAAAGAAGGAAGACTTAAAAGACATCCAAATGTTAATGGTCTTCCTCTTCCTGTCCTGGAGTAAGCTTTATGCCTCCAACCCTTTTTCCTAATTCATTGAGTAATGCTGGTTTACCACCAGCACAGTGGTTCTTTCAAAGCCATACTTTTGAATGACGCTTCCTATTTCAGCTTTTCTTCAGGCAAAGCAATTGTGTCTGATCTCCATAAGTAGAGCAAGTGCAAATTTGGAGTGAAAGATGAGGCAACCTGGCACACCCTCAGTTACAAACTGTCTAGGGGCTCAAATAGCTTTTGATATAACTTAGATCAACCTGAAGATGATCTCAGTGACCTCTATCTGTCCCATAGGAAGCAGTGCACTGGGTTAAGATGAGGGCAATAATTACGTATTTTGCCCTGCCTTACCTCTCTGGTCATGATCCCTCCTTACCCAACCACTCCTATGAACAAGAAATAGCAAATGGTTGTATTTATCCAGCCTGCTGAGGACGACAACACTCCTTCAGAGTCCAGATTGGACTGGAGCAGTCCTTGACTCAAAAGGTTTCAGCAATCCAGCCATGAAATACCACGAAGAATCTCACCTGGAAAAATGATTAAAGAAACTTATGTCATGACAAATATAAAACATAAATAAACGTACGACTGAAGAAAACAAGAAGGATGTAAGTGTTCCTTATTTGTACACAGGATGTTTTACAGGATCTCTGTGAAATAAAAAACTACCAGTCACTTGGATGAGGAGTGCTTTGCCTCAAGGGGGAATTTGGTTTAGGGAACAGAGGTCCTTGAAGACTTATTTTCCCATATTCATGTAATTTTTTGTTTGCTCACTTAGAACTGACAGCAGGCTTATTGATCTACAATGCACAGAAAAAATCCTTTCTATTAACTGTTATCAATAGCAGTAATATTTAGCATACCGCTGTGGAAAATAACACAAAAATAGGAACAAATTTGGCATGAGGGAAGATGATTATTTTCATCTTCCCTTGTAGAAACTGCAGAGTAAGTGCCTTTTTAATATGGACTAGAATGAAAAGCAAGGAGGGGATCTGGTTATATTAAAAAATTCAGATGAATGGCAACTTCCCTTTTTCTGAAAAGCTGAGGTGAGCTTCTCTTTGAGCCAACCTAGTTCAAACAGTGAGAGAAATAAGAGAACTACTGAGCAACAGCCACCATGTGATTGACCTCTACCATTTGTCTCAATGAGCCAGGAATGAACTTGAAATACACGGAATGGTGTGATAGGGAGATAAAACAAACCTGTAGGAAACAGAACAAAAAGCTTTTAAGTATGACAAACAAAATTTTCTCAAATCTGTTAAGTGTTGGTTCATGGATATGATTCAAGACATGAACCAACACAGCAATGTAAATTGGGATGGGACTGGACAAAGGGTTATGAAAGAGAAACATTTCCTGTAGAGTTCCTGTGCTTCTTTGTTTGCATTTCTAATTGGAAAATAAAGCTTGAAGACATGCCTGAACCATCTTAGCTATTGGATGTGAAAAACTTGTGCTCTGATACAGTGATTCTAGTTGCTTATTTTTTTGCAGCTCCAAAATTCTGTGAAACACTGAGAATAATATAAAAACAGAGTATCAGTGTCAATCTATCAAAAAGAAATCAAACTTTCAATATGTAGGTAATATTGCTAAGAGCTATGAGAGTGCTCTAACGTATCATGCCCAAGACAGTATGTTATAAACCCACTAGTTTTTCTAAACTAAGAATCTTTGAAAAGACAAACTTTTATCAGAAGTCCTGTTAAACTTACACCAATGAATGTAATAAAACTATACCTTATACTATTCTTAAATATCATAAAACTGCCTACATTTTGACATTTCCCCTATTTATTTGTGTTTCCCCATGGAAATATAGCAAAGGGAAAACCAGAAAAATCTTGAAATCTTTTGATAAGATACCTTCTTCAGATAATGTTCAACTTGCAATAACTCTTTGAGCTATGTAGAACAGAGTATTTTTAACTTTTCCTTCTCCATCATCCAAGTAGCTGTTAAAATAAAGAGAAAACAATTGAAGTATCACCTAAATGGTAGACAACACATTTTATTGTTTTGCTGCAAGGTAATCTATACATGCCAGGTCATACAAGTAAGGGCTCTGTAGCTCTTCTAACAGAATTGCTTCAATGTGAAGTTTTTAGTTTTAAAATTGAAAGATTTGTTTCTCCTTTGCTGGAATATTAAACTTTTACAATTAAAGTTAACTGTTTATTTGGTGTAAACTGTAGCTTTTGTTTCCTGATATAATACCATTTCTCCATGATGTAAAATACATTGATACTACAATTTTCTGTTCTATTCAAATCAGCTTTTAATTGAAGTTCATGTGAATGGGTTATTCTTTGTGATTTTTATAATCTTATGACTAGTTCATGTTTTTTTCTGCTTGTCACAATTCATATGAATTGAAAATATATTTGGTTTAGAAGTATTAAGAGTGATCATGCACAAGAAAAAGCAGCTAATTTTCTAAACTTTCTAGTCAGATAACATTTTCAGATGAGTGAGATTGAGTACAATTTTCTTTTGAACTGAAAAAGAATTACTATTCTGTCAAAAATAAAAGCAGTATTCAACAGAGGAAAAATTTATCTTTAGCTAGTTAAAAGCCTCTCAGGAGGATAACTTTGTTAATTGCATGAAATATATTTCTTTAGTTGCTTAGTCTCCTTTTCCTCAGCTTTCTAACTGTTCTTAATTTTTCCAAATGTTTACTGTTCTTTAGATTTTTATAAAGGGAAGGAGGGGAACGTGATTAGACTATGTCTGTGTTGAGAACTAGCTTCAATACTCTTTATTGTTAAGAATGTAACCAGATGATTATCTAAAATATTTGATACTCGGTGTTTTAGTGAAAAACTCTTTTTCAAATCACAGATAAAGCAAGGTCAAAGGAAAGGCATTACCTTAATTTATGAACTGAGGAAATAGTCTGGGTATATGTTTTTGAGATATCTAACTCCCCACGTAGGAATTAAGCTAAATCTGGAACTAGTTTCATGTTTAATATCTTTCACTGAAAGTCAGACCTTTTGAAACCCAATGAAAGGTAGAAGCCACAAGTGGGGATTTTGTTTTGTGAGGGTGTAATTGCATTGGTGTAGTGGGTGGACCCTGGCTGGATGCCAGGCACACACCAAAGACATTCTATCACTCCTCTCCACAAATGCACAGAGGAGAGAAAACATAACAAGAGGTTCATCAGATGAGATAAGGACAGGGAGAGATCATAGATTACTATCATGAATAAAACAAACTTGACTTGGTGATATTAATTAAATTCATTACTAATAAAAATCAGAACAGAATAATGAAAAGTAAAACAAATCTTAAAAACAGTTTTATCCCATGCCTCCCTCCTTCCCAGGCTCCACCTCCTTCCACTCAGCGGCACAAGGACATGGGAATGGGAGTTACAGTGAGTTCATCACAGGTTGTTTCTGCTGCTGCTCACAGAGAGGAGTTCTTCTCCTGCTCCAGTGTGGGGTACCTTCTATGGGAGACAGTTCTCTGCGAATTTCTTCACCGTGAGTCCTTCCCAAAGGCTTCAGTTCATGAGCTGCTCCAGGATGGGTGCCTTTCATATGGCGTGCAGTTCTTAAAGAATAGCTTGCTCCAATGTGAGTCCCCTACAGGGTCACAAGTCCTGCCAGTAAACCCACTCCAGTGTGAGCTCCTCTCTCCACAGGTCTGCAGGTTCCTGCTGGGACCCTGTTCCAGCCTGTGCTTCCCAGGCATTTAGAGACTTCTTTCAGGCATCCACCTGCTCCAGTGAGGATCTTCTCGATGAGGATGCAAGTGGATCCCTGTTGACCTCAGTGGGCTGCAGGGGCACAGCTGCCTCACCATGGGCTGCACCATGGGCTGCAAGGGAACCTCATCTCTGACGCCTGGAGCACCTCCTTCCCCTCCTCCTCCTTGGTGTCTGCAGCATTGTTCCTCTCACATATTCTCACTCTGCTGTTCTCTGAGTGCAGTTATACCTACACTTTTTTTTTTTCCTTCTTAAATATGTTATCAAAGAGGCAATACTACCATCTCTGACTGTCTTGGCCTTGGACAACAGTGGGTCCATCCTGGAGCTGGCTGGCATTGGCTCTATCAGATAGAGGGAAAGTTTCTGGCAGCTTCTCACAGAAATCCCCTCTGTAGTCTCTACTACCAAAACCTGGCCACGCAAATCCAATACAATTAGTCAGTTTAGCCCTAAGCCCTTACACATTGCTTTATCTTCCATTACTTTGTACAGCATTGCTGTAGTCAATGAGCAGAATTTTATGAAGACATGAACATGATTTATATAGGTTTATCTATGTACAAATTGGCTTTATAGCACTCAGTCTGAATTATATCAGTCAAGAAGGAATTAGAGCATCTTTTTTTGTTGTATTATAGCAATAAATCTGAAAGTAAATGATACTAATGATGTAGCAACACTTGTGTTCATATGTTATTCTCAAGGTGCAAGTGTGGTTTTGTTATGTGGTTTGTTTTATTCTTTTCTGTTACAGAGTAGCATAAACATTGTTAAATCAAGATGTTTTCATGCAATATTTTTTTAAGCAACACAAGGTCACTTGTTATTGTAATTGTGCTCCCTGACTATTGAAATAACATTTCAATATATGTATGCATTCTATATTGAATGTCTCTTATGTGCTACAACTATGTTAGTTGTATCTGTTATGTACATATATTATGTTAATTATATCCGTTATGTACAAATATTGTTCCATCTCCTCCTCAAGCTGCCTTAAACCATTTGGTAATGATCTCAATCCCACTAGAATCAATGAAAACATATTTTCACTTGATTTCATTAAGTTTCAAACCTGAGCTGTAGAGAACCTCCCTAGGGCAACATAAGGACCATGTTTTCCTTCACAACAATTTTTTAGTTTCTTCTTCGTTGTCCCTTCTTGTTAGCTTTAAACCTTTGTAGCTCTGGTTGCATAAGCTTCAGAGATTTTGCAGCAGAATGAATGGTCAGACTCCTTTGATCTACACACTGTCAACCTCAACCCTCAGATTAGATCTACCATCAGCAGAGGAAAGGAAAATATTCATAAAAGCATTTATACATATTGCCTACCCAGGCAGAATGCTGTCTGGAGACAGGAGATACTAATTTCCTAGAAGGCTGAGTAGTTTATGGACATGAAAATCTGAGAAGTTTCTGGTTGCCTACCCAAGCTTGTCTGCTGCTCTCAAGCTTCTGAAAATCTAGTGAAGATCTCTGAGAACAACACTGATGTGATCAGCCAGCAGTAAGTACAGGAGGAACGAGGCAGGAGGCTGCTGGAGCAGCAAATAGCTGTTGGCCTCTGCTTGCTTTGCTTGTGCCAGGATGTCCAATGCTCTGATCTGGTCTTTGAGGACCATCAGTACTGAGATCAAGGAGCTAAAAATCATGGTCTCTCTTACCTT